GTGGGGGGGGGGGGGGGGGGCCGCGTACATTAGCGCGAAGAACGTCGTTGGGTCTCCCTGTCGGGCGCCGTTTCGGGGGGGAGAACAACGATGGAAGGCTCTGCGATCACGATCGGGTCCCCACCGTAATGGGCGCGCTCTGCCGGCCCACCCGGGCGCAATCGGCGTTCGTGTGTACATAAGCGCGATCAGCGCTCCTGCGCAGTGTTACTGCTGTGGATCGTCTCGCAAGCTTCCAAGCTCGGCCAAACCGTGACATCGAACACTCTACGGTTTCCCGCGCGTTTTCCATTCTTTTGTTTGGGAGAGAGCGATAAACCCCGAGTCGGGGGCTCACGTCTAGACGCCGGAAAAAAAATCTTTTTTTTTTCCGCCACGCGTTCGTTTTTTTTTTTGTTTTTGTCTCTGGCTTCCATCTAAGCTCTATTCGACTCATGCAGCTCGAGCGGATCTCGCTATGATAGCGCTTGGTGCCTCTGACTCATCGGGACGCCGCCGAACGCTCTCTCATCTCCTCTCATCTCCTCGGAGACAGCTCTTGGCTCACTCGGACCTTTGGCAGGTACGTTATATACGACATTGGAAACAAAACCTATTCTCATAGTCAATCAAGCGTATTCGCGTATCGCTATCGAGTATAGCCGCCGAACGGAGAGAGGGGCAAGCTGAAAGCCGAATGTGGAGCGTCCCAGGCCGCAGCTCGAATCTTACCGAGCAAGTGAACCCGAGGGACGAAGATACGGATCGTCGTGCAAGGGAGCACGAACCGCGGGTCAAGGTAAAAAAGAAGAACCCAGTCGACCCGGCGCGTGCGCGCGCCTTCCACTGCGAATCGCGCCGTGAAACCTGCCTATTGTAGCAGACACCCGGGGGGCGCACACCCTCCGCGCCACGCGAGCCCAACGTTCCGCCACCTTTTGTCCAGCCCCCCTTTCCCTTCCCCCGGGACCTTTGCGCCTTTACGTTCTGATGGATACGAATACACGAATACGAATACGATACGCCGGTCCAAACGTCTTCCCCCAAGGTTCTATTTTACAATGCGCCCGAGGAGCTCCGCGGCAAGATTAACTCCCAAACGGTTTCTGGGTGTGGTCTGGTCTTGCCCTCGCTCCTCGCTCCTCGTGCCGCCACGCCACGCCCGCACGCACGCAATCAAGCGGAGACCGGATTCGCGGAATTTCGAAATACCGAAGAGAAAAACGAAACGAGAAAAAAAACGAGACCGGTGTGACGCCATTCGCCGGCGGAGCGAGCAGAGTTGTACTCGCTGAACGGGCCGGTCACTTACAGCCGCGCCTTCGACGAGATGCCTTCAGGGAGAGGGATCTTTCCATCCCATCACGCGCACGCCGCCGTGCCTCGCCACCTGATGGTATTACTACCCATTACCGCCCTGGGTACATAAATACCGAGATCTGCGCGCGCCCCGGAGGCAAGAACGAGCGAGAACGAACTGTACCGTACCGGGAACTCGCTCCCGCGTTCATCATCCACCGCGCGTACCTCCGCGCATTCCTTCCCCCCCCCCCCCCCTGTCCCCCTTCTCCTCTCTCGTTTTCACATTTGACATCTCCTCGCTCAACGTCGCACGCCTTCTCCCGACCTTTTTTCTTTCGCGACGACTACGGCGCCTGTGGTCCCGGCCCGGACCCGGCCATACACTTTGTTTTTCTTTTTGGCCTGCTCACTTGTCTCTGTCGCCTGATCCGTTGCTTGCCCGCACTACGTACCCTCCTGCGAAAGCTAATGGCTACAACCGCGACCGCATACGCGCCGTCGCTGGCTTTCGATTACAGCACCAACAACAACAACCACAGCTACAGCGGCTCCTCCTACGACCCCCGTGGCCGGCCTTCCGGCACAGATCAGCTCACGCTACCGTCTCTCTCCTTCCCCTCGCCCTCGCCGTCCTCTCACCTCACGGACGACGGCGAGTCTAACGCCCATACCGACGGCGCCGATATGTCGTGGGACCCGTACCTATCCACCGCCTGGCCCTCCTTGCCCTCGTCGAGCTCCTTTAGCCATCACAGCGTGAGCGGTGCGCGACCACCCCAAGGTCAGAGCCAGATCCAGAGCCAGAGCATCCCCGACCCGGCGTATCCGAGCTACTGGACCACGCCTTCCCCGCCGTCCCCGGCCGGCGCCCAGACAGAAACGGAGGAATACGCGAGCTTCGGCTCCTCCGACCCCTCCTCGTACTCGCACCACCACCGCTCGTACGACCACGACCCGCGCTCTCGCTCTCATGATCATACTCATCAGAGCTACCGTCACCCGAACGCCCCGCCGTCTACCTCCTCGTCCTCGCCGCGCTCCACCCGCCCGCCTTCTTCCGCATCCGCATCGTCTTCCAGGACCCTGCCCACCGCCGCCGCTTTCACCAAATCCAAGTCCAAGTCCGAGTCCGTATCCCACCGTGCGTCCTCTTCACCGACGCGGACACGGACGCGGGTCAAAACCGAGCCTTCGGAGCACGTCGGCGGCGACGGGCTCGTCGTGTTCGAGGTGCCCGAGACGCCGGGAAGCGTCTTCGGCGCGCGCAACCTCCTCGATCCCGACCGCGGCAACGAAGACGAAGACGAGAACGAAAACGAGAGGGCCGTGACGACGACGACGATGACGACGACGAGCGATTTCCCGCTGCGCGCCACACAGGCCAGCCCCGCGATGCGCAAGATGATGGGCGGGTTCAGGTGAGAGAGAGAACAGATCGATTTTTTATTTTTTATTCGTTTCGCGCCATTCGTAATAAATGACTTCTCGTATCCCCTTTTTTTTTCTTAGGTTAGACCCGTTCGCGATGCACGACGGCATCCACTCCGCGTCGCGTCTTCCGGGCCAAGGCCGACGCAGGCCGCTCTCTTCTTCGCCTTCGTCTCCGTCTTCGTCTTCGTCTTCGCCTCCCTTCTTTCCGTCCTCGCCGCCGGCGCCGGAGGAAGAAGGGAAGGAGAAGGAGAGGAAGCGGCCGGGGATGACGATGTGGGGCGAGGCGCGCGCGCTCGAGCACGAGCCGGTCGAGCTGGAGTGGCAGGCCGTGCTCGCGCACCCGGATATCCTTCGTCCCGAGCAAGAACGGGAACGCGAACGGGAGAGGGAGGAGGGCGGGTTGGACGCGGCGGGGTTGATTCGGATCGATGAGGAAGAAGGGGAGGAGGAGGGGTGCCGTGAAGAGCAAGAAGGGGGAGGAGGGAAGAAGAGAGTGGAGCCTGGTACGATTTTGTCTCACTTTGCTTTTCGCGGTTCGCGCTCAGCTGAAAAAAAATATTCTGTCTCGGACGCCAGTGCACTCGCCGGAGCCCTCGATCGGCTCGACGGGCCTCCTCGCGTATCCGTACGCGTACTACACCGCGCACCGACCACATCGACATCAATACCAGGGCCAACGTTATCGCCCACCGTCGACGTCGCCGCTCGTGTCGACCGGTTCAGCCGGGTACGACTGCCGCGGGCACGGACGCGTGCAGCCGCAGTTTGAAGAGCAACAGGCACGGACGTACACGAGCGCGGGGACGTACGCGCACTCGGCCCACGGACTCGGGCAAGCACACGTTCTCGGAGCGCGGGGGACGGGGTTGACCGTGCCGCGACGGCCGACGCATATGGGCGCGGACGGCGCGGCGGCGACGAGGCTGATGATGACGCCCGCGCAGCTCGCGTCCTCTTCTTCCTCGTCCGCCTCCTCGTTGGCTGGAGGGGATGCGTACCACGTACGTCTTTTTATGTTTATTTATCCTTTTTGTCGGGGGTTTTTTTTTTTTTTTGACGATACGGTTTTTTTGTTTAGCATGAGCATGGAGAGATAAGTGGGACGAGGTACGCGCCTCAACCGATGCAGCGACGGCAGTCTCGGCCCACCGACTACGTGAGATCGCGGTATCCCGTGTCGGCCCCGGTGCCGAATGCGACGACGTCTGCGGGCGGGTCGCCTTCGAGTTGGATGTCTTGACGACCCACTTCGGGAGTTCGGTCGCATCCGTTGCTCGCTGATGGACTAGTGATCACCTCCGCATCCTCGGCCCACACATTGTAATTCTTGCTCGAATCGCTTGTTTTTCATACTTCCTCCCGACATTTTTCTTCTTCTTTACCGTACAGTCCTCTCGCTCCCATCTCATTGTAATCCACGCATCAAATAGTTATGAATCGATCTTTGTAGCGGACGTTCCTCGTATAACCTCGGGTACATTTGTCGATCTTAGCAGTCAGCAACGACCATGATTCGTGCCTATCGATCTCGCGGAACCTTTCTATATCGCCACGCGCCGTTGTTCGTCGAGCTTCGCAAGGGTCCGAGTCCCACTTCCACCGGAGCTTACCACGACCGCGTCGATAGCGTTACTACTCGTAGCATTCCCTCGTGCGCAGCACGTTTCATGTTTTCGTGCAGGTGACCGGACCGAACATTGAGGAGGCACATGGAAAAGACGAGGGGCGTATTCGAGCACGATGATCATCCCTCATGCATCACGGTCGGCAAACAAAAATGACACGGATACCAAGTCAAACGACGCCGGGGGCCGGCGGTGACCATGAGCACGGTGAGTAATGGGCCTGGCGTACGGCATCGTAGCGGAGAAAGCCCCGCGCCGATGTGGGTATGGCGATCTCCCTCTTCGGTGGGCTCGATCTGATGACTCTGAAGCGCGGCGTGTCGCGTGGACCAGCGGCGCGGATCGAGCAGAAGAAAGCGGTGGGAAGCTTAGGGCATGCTGCAGGGCGGAGATGGTCATGGTCCGAGGCGGATAATATTGCGCATGCATGTACGGTCGCCGGTCGAAACGTGCACTAGCGCAGCGGTTCTGTCCGTGAAAACGAAGCCATGATGACATTGTCAATGAGCGGGGGACATTGGATAGACCTGCTCGCCTGCTTGGGTGGACGCGAACGAGATCTTCAGCGGGATCAAGGAATATACGACGCTCCCATAAGCGGCAACTTGAACGGCGGGCCAGAGACATCTGATGCCGGTGAGTCTTTGGTTCACGTCCGCGCTACCTGCGCCCTGACTGCCTCCTGCTCGGACATGCCCCAGAGATCTCCTCGGGGTGCGCACATGCGGCCCTTCTCTTCCATCAGCTCCGCGCGCCTTTCAGATCTCGGGACGTCCCCTGTTTGACTTTCCTGGAACGCATCAGCTCGGGGCATCTCTCGCGCGGGGCGCATCTACATGCGCTTGCCTTATCTCCGCTAGCGGACCCAAGTTCGGCAATGACGCGGGAGATCGATTGCCTCACACGTCTCATCTCCTCGTCATTCTTGCAATCATCCAACCTGTGAAGATGAAATGCTGTGGAGAAACGTGGAATGCCCGTCCGTACGTCCCGTGTCGTGCTGCTTTCGCGAAAACTCTTGTTCTTCCTACAAAATCGGCCCCAAACTCGACGTTTTGCGATGAGATCTCGTAACTCATGGTGGCCGATTTCCGGATTATGAAGCAACCGAATCGTCATCTGCGGCGATGGCGACGGCCTTGAGTCTCAAGGTCCTGCCACGAGACGTGGATCCATCTTTGTTATTCGGCTCGATGCCCTGAGTTGTGAAATTCGAAAGTTGTGAAATTCGAAGGCAAAAACCTTGGATCATTCTACCAAGACAGGATATGGCGTGTATATACCTACTGGTCAGATGGAAAGCGTAAGCACAGATCCTAGTTGCAAATGAAGCCGAAATCCTACGCCGGCACTAAACGTTCCAGGTAAGAACGCGTCATCAGATTCGGCCGTAAGGCGCTGGCGATAGGGTTGCAGCCAATTCGCAAGGTTCTCGACGAAATAGGAAGGAGAAAGCTTTGGATATGTCGCGAAGATGAAGGCTGCGTGAATGTGAATGAGTCGACGGGCATCGTTGATGTGGTGGACCTGGCACATGCGAGGTTAGAACAAGGTTTTGGCCGTCGAGCGTGTATGTACGTACAGCAGTATACAGCAGCCGTGGATCGAGCTTGATGCGCCGGTTCCGCTGGCAGAGTGCCCACCGCGGTCATCAATCGCGATCGCAGGAGTCGCATGAGTCATCACGCTCTGTCGGAACATGCCTGATGGGCTAACGAGAACTTCGCGTAACACATCTCGAGGGAGATACCAGACGAAGAACCTTCCGGGGCATAGAAGGAGAGGAAGGACACGTACCACCACGACATTATCCTCCTTCTCTATGAATCACGGTGGTCTGGTACATCATACCTGGAAAAAATGTGATGTTAGCCTCAAGGTGTCCGATCGCTTCATGAGTCAGTAGTGGATGTACGCGCAAGATCTACGAAGGGCACATACCGAGTGATTCCACTTGAAAGCGTGTTGACTTGCTGTACATGATTTGCTCGTGAACAGGAACGGATCCTGATACCCGCGTATGCACATCGTCCAGGGCGTTGTCGTAGACCCCTACGCCCGATTGGCCAGATCAGGAGTCGTGAAGGGCAGAAAAGAATAAGGAGTCGAACAGACCTCTGTTCGTATGTTGCGGGTCGACGGCCCCGCCTGATCATGGCATGAATACCAAGGAGGGTAAGTCGGCCGACGTAGAGTACGGTTACGTACGTCTGGGCGCGGTCCCCGAGCTCAAGCCCAGGATCGACCTTGACAAACTCAACGACATTCGTTTATAACGAGCCACGTGCCAGATGTCTTGGTTCAGAGGCGTTCGTTCTGGGCGCCGGTGCCTGAAAAGTGGTTCGTCAAGCATTACATACTGGATAGACCCTTGAGTTCCGCTCGTCGACATGGAACATACCGGTTCGCTAGGTCGAATCTGGGAGAAGACCTGTTATCGTGGTGTTAGTACGCGGCTCGGACGTCCCTTGCCAGTCAGGCCGAGGCGACTTTCTTCTGCTGTTCTCGTGCAGGTTTCCGCCTGTGTACATCGAACCTTGCGATCGGTGCGGTATCAGGAACCGGCTAAAGACGACAGCGAGCCCACCTCCGCGGAGAGGCCGAAGCCTGCCTACTGTATCTTCGTAACAGAGTCGGTCACGCAGGGTTCGCGAGAGAAGGCGAATACGTACAGATAGCACGCAGATCTGTTCGGGTGGCCTTGGTCCGGGGGAGATCCGTATAGTTGGTGACCTTCACGCGACTGAGTGAGGTAACCCGAGGCCAGCCAGTAACGGAGGCTCAAAGGGCGGTTCGCGCTCGTTGGAGACGTTGGATAAAACGGGGTATGGCGACAGCTTATGTGATACATGATGAGTATACGCGATAGCTAGTGGTAAGCTCGGTCGATGGTCTTCACAGGATACATCACGTCCAGGCGAACTCGGGGTCGAGAACTACTTTGAAGGCTCGCTGAAGAACAAACAGAGGAAGTTTCAGCGGCAGCTCTAGGTTCAGGGAGCAGACGGAGAGGAGAGTGATACGAGATGAAACACTCACGTCCACATCTCCAGCAAGTCCTCGCCGCTCCTCGCCGACCGTCATTCTCCCTGCCAATCCGTCCTCCTGCGCATCCAAGTGTCGCGTTTCTGTTCCGTGCGAAGTCCCTGGTTGTTCATGCAGAACTCCTTCTCGGGAGAAGTCAACGTGCAGCCGTGCTAGTAGAACAACTTGAGCGGTTTGCACGATACTATGTTCAGTTGCACGATTTCGAGGTCACATCTTCATAACACGTCCATAATAGGAGATCCTGAAAGTGGAGCGAGGAGCAGAGCTGACCGTTGCAGGAGAGAAACTCGTCGAAGAGAGTCGCACAAATTAGGATGTCGTCTGCGGCCGAGATTCAGCTCCAGGCAAAGTCACTCCTCCTCTTGCCTCGCCGCGGCTGTAAAGTCGAAATTTCACATTGTTTCCGGACAGCCTCTAACCTCGAACAGACAAGGGAAACGAGCAACGGATAGAGCGAGTACAAGTCAGGCGCAACAGAACCGCGCGAGGAGAGTACTACTTGCCGGCAATTTCCGTAGTACGACGGCATGGCATCGTGCTCGCCTTCCTCGGCGGCGCTGCATGCCTCTGATGTTGGACCCAGTCAAACATATCGTATGCTGCCAACTGGCGATCACACCACGTTTATTTGCTGTTCAACCGTTCACATCCCGCTCGACACCGCCGACCTTGACCAGAACCTTAACTTCGGAAGCGTTACATTGTTGATGCCGCCTTTCTCTCATGAGCTGGTAGTCGTCCCGATCTTCACGAGTGTATTAAAGGACGATACATTACACTTTCTGAGTACCTGCCGCACACCTCCTGCAGGTCCGCACGCCGGTTGCGTGACTGGGGCGCAGACTCGGAAATCCGTCAAACATCTCTTCCTTCGTGAAGGGCAACCGAATTTGTTGTACGCGTCGAGGACATATAACCTGCTAATTGCTAGCCGTGTACAGATACTGGATCATTTTGGTGGGTCAAACTCTCTCTCTCTAATAACATGTTTGATATCTCATCTTGAGCAAACCGCGATCCGCCCGTCGTGCAAGGCGCCGTCGCGTCGGCCAAACAGAGCACAACAAACAGATGGATGTGACCCTCTCTGTTTTCTTCCTTTGCCGGCGACCACAGCGTTCCCAACCCATCTACTTTCAACATGTAGATACCGATGCCCCACATAATTGCAATACTTCAATGTAATTCTTATGCTCGAAGGCCATTGGATCCCACGAGTTCATCAATCCGCATATATGCACTGTGCGCGTTCGTCCCCGGCACCCCGGCTACATGGTCGAAAAATCCCAGAGAACGTACCGGACGACCCTATTCCCGTGTTATATGCCGAATGCTCTTCGTCAGATCCAGCGTGCGAGAGAGAGGTACGCCACCCGCAGTCATTCTCTCAGAGGATTGACGAACATGGCTCTTAGCTCCCCTCGGGCGGGTTGATTCAAACTTGGGGGGACCTTGGACAACCGAGCGCACGAGCTCCGTCCCTCATACGCGATGCCGCTCATCAACCATCTCGTCATTGTCGCCCTATCATGGTTATCCAGCCCGCTGCTCACCATCGCCAACTCGGACCCGGACACGCTCAACTACGCCGCCTTCACCCAGACCGCGACCTATTCGATCGCGAACCAGCTCGGCTTCTTCTACGCCTTCAACCTATCCATCGCCTTCTCCTCCATCCCAAACTCCACGTTCGGCTACGCCCAGCTGCTCGCGGGGGCCACGGACGTGCTCACGGGCACGATCGACAACGCGGTCAACCTCCGTTTCAACTCGAACGAAAATATCACGGTTCTGGGGCAGTTGGATGCCGGGCCGGACATCGTCGTAGCGGGGGTGGCTGGGATTGACAGCGTGTTGGGGCTGAGGGGAAAGGCGCTGATGGTGGACTCGCCCGTGAGCGGGTACGCGTTCATGCTCCGCAAGGTGCTCAGCCTGTTCGGCCTCAGGCTCGAGAACGGGGACTACACGTTTCAGGTGAGAGCGCACTTCATCCCCTCCTCCACGCCAGCCAACTGACCCTTCTTTCTCTCTCGTGTCGCAGACCGTCGGTGCGACGACGACCCGGTTCGCGGACCTCGTCGCAGGCTCGCTCCCGGACGGCACCCCAGCTATCGCCACGATCCTCACCTACCCCTTCACCGCCCAGCTCGGCTCCCTCCCCACCGACTCCTCCTCTGCGCCCCCGACAATCCTCGCGCGCGTCTCCGACTTCATCCAGCCCCTCACCTCGACCGCCTTCACCATCTCCGGCGCCCTGGCCCCGTCCAAACGGCCCCTGCTGGTCCGCTTCCTCGCCGCCTTCCACGCCGCCTCCCTCTTCCTCGCCGATCCGTCCAACCGGATCTGCTCCATCCGCGCCATCGCGGCCCAGCTCAACGTCTCGCTCGAGACGGCCGAGGCGGAGTATCTCGCCGCGACGGACCCCGTCACGGGCGAGGTGGGGCCTACGACCAACTTCACCGTGAGCAGGCAGGGCCTGCTGAACGTGATCGACGTGAGGGGCCAGTTCGCCGGCGGGTTCGGGGGAGTGGATATCGATGGCGGGGAGGGGTTCAACTTCGCGGAGGCGATCGAGCCCGGGGTCGGGCAACTGGTGGACTACACGATCCGGGACGAGGCGCTTGCGCTCGCGAACCCGAACCCGTCGTCGTTCACGCCGAGTTGCTGATGCTTGCAGCTTTGCGAGGACGTTATTTGTCGCGCGGGGTTGTATCTACGCGTATGTACTCTACATCTCCCTTGCTTGGCACCCATTTATCGCCGGTCACCTCTATGAACCTCGAGAATCGATCCTATCCTTGGCTCCGAATAACGAAGCTCACTCAAGCCGGTGTCGAGTGTCCGGCGCGGGCTGCCCTCTCGCGGTCTCGACTCTCGAGACCGACACGGTCCCGTACAAGCCGTGCCGTTGACTCGTTCGGCATCCACCAACGCATGGGATCAGTCTCATGACGTCATCATATATAATCGCGCGACATTATCGTTCCATACTCATCGCGATCAAGGGAACCCTGGCTTCACTCGTCCGCCTCGCAAGGTCGCGCTCAATCCTCAGGCTCGCCGTCAAATCCAGGTCTACTACATCGAGTCTGAGCTCGCTCGTCAAATATCATAGCAGCATGCCGCCGTACACGCTCTACTACTGGCCCGAGATACCTGGCCGTGGCGAGTTCGTCCGGCTCGCGCTCGAAGCCGCCGGGGAGGCGTACGACGAGGTGTCGGACGTACCCACGCTCACGAGCTTCACCTCGTCCACGGGGCCCGTCGGCGCCCCGCCGCACTTCGCCGTGCCCATCCTCGAGATCCCCGCCCCTTCCTCCGCCTCCTCCTCCTCCAGTTCGAAATCGAGGAAGATCACGAGGGAAGGGAGCGCGAAGGAGGGGAAAGGGTCGAGTGCGTTTTTGAGCCAGACGCCGGCGATTCTGGCGTATTTGGGTCCGAAGCTGGGGTTGGTGGGCGATGTGGAGGGCGAGGAGGAGGAGGTGCGCGAGCTGAGGAGGGCGCACGTGAACCAGCTCGTGTTGACCGCGTTGGATCTGAACAACGAGGTGCACGACGTGAGTCTCCCGTCGCTTTCTTCCCTTCCTTTACCGGGCGATTCTGACGATATCGCCTTTTACAGACGCACCACCCGATTGCGAGCGAGCTCTACTGTGCGTCATTCTTTCCGCCGCGGATCTTTGTTGAGGGATAAGGACAGCAGCTGATACCAACGCACAGACGAAGACCAAAAAGCCGAAGCCGCCCGGCGCGCCGCCCACTTCCGCAAGACGCGCGTCCCCAAGTTCTTCAAACACTTTGACCTCGCCCTCGCCTCGAACCCTTCCTCCTCCTTGCACCTTGTTGGCACCACCCTGACCACCGCCGACCTGACGCTCTTCCAGGTCATAGACGGCCTCCAGTTCGCGTTTCCCCGGCTGCTCGCGTCCGCCGAGGCTTCGGGACGGTTCCCACATCTGTTCAAATTCAAGGACGCGCTGGTGAAGGAGAGCGAGAGGTTGAGGGGTTATTTGGGGAGCGTGAGAAGGAGGACGTATGGGATGGGGGTGTTTAGGCATTATGAGGAGTTGGATGGGGAGTTGGAGGCGGAGGAAGATAAGGCTGAGTGATACCAGCGCTGGCTTGTCGAAAGAGAAAATTTCAATTGTACGCAAGTCCGCACTCGCAATCCACGACTCCATCGCCAATATGTAGGGAGTCGGCTTCAAATTGTGCACGTAGCTGGAGACGCAGGGATGAAGAATAAGTATGGGATCACAACGATCGTGACGGAGCGTACAACTCTCCCGCCGGGAAGTCGAGAGAGTCTATACACATCCAGGAGTCCGATCAGGAGAGGTGGGGTTGTCACTGTGCGGGCCTGCTTGTAGGTATCGCAAGGCGACATAGACGTCATTCCCAGCATGGGTTCGCGACGCCGTACGAGCATTTGCACCCCCCAGCTATGCACTTCGTTTCATATCAGCCGTTGGCCCTAAAGACGCTCTAATCCATGAGTACCTTAAGAGGCTGATCACGACATGCCACAATACGAGCGCAGCGCGATCGAATGGTCTCATTAGCACGAATGTGGAGACGTGCACCAGTTTCAGACGGATGAGAGAGCAAGCAAAATGCATTAAGGAGCCGTTGGCACACACTACTTCGCTACGCAAAAGCGGGATTACTATTTGGGGTGACTGAGGCGTAAGATTAGGGCGGACGCGATACACGCTCTCAAGCGGAGAGGTTGACCGGCACGCAGCCGGCGGTGATGAGGCCGTTCTACGCAAGCAGAGTCAGCGCAAAAAGGCAAAAGGCAAAGGAACCCCGCGCGCGAAAGTTGGAACGCACGAAGTGGTTGTCCTCGCAGCAGACGGGTGCGGCGTTGCAGCTGTTGCCGCCTGCGCCGACGAGGGAGAGCGGGCTGCAGCCGAGGCCGACGAGCGCGGTCACGTCCGAGACGACGACACCGAGCTGGCCGAGGAGCTGGCTGGCGTCGGCGCTGTTCGCCTGTTGTTGCACAAAAATAAAATAAAAAAACTGTTAGTATCCTGCGCAGGAAGGAGGTGAATTGAATCATGTATGTCCTCGCTCACCTTCTGGGTGCTGTTGCAGCACGAGATGGAGCCGGTGTTGCACTGGCTTGCAGGAAGCGCGCTGGGGGCGGCAGCGGCGGAAACGACGAGCGCGGAGAGCGCAACGAAGACGGTGGAGCGAGAGAAGAACATCTTTGACGGAAAAGAGTGACTGGTGCTTGGTGAGCGAGGGTACCTAGTGTGCCGAGGGAAGTTGAACGATTGCTGTTCGACTGGAGACTCGCGGCATCCGGGCGCCCAGCCAGTATTTATACGTCCGGAGGAATCAACATGATGAGCTGGCGCTGAGAGGCGTGCGGAGATGAAGAGGGCCTCGGTTAGGAGGGAAGTGACGGAGAAGCGAGGGAGAGAGCGAAGCGAGCGTCGCCTCGTGCTCGAACGTCCAGGACAGGATGTAAAGCCATGTCGGGTTTCGGGGCCGTAGACACCGCAGTCGCGCTCGCCGAGCGCAATGCAGTAGACGATGCATCCCGAGGCGGAGAGTACTATGCACCCACCCCTAATGCAACATCGCCCCCTAATGCAACATCGACACAAATCCATCTCCCGTTCCTCTCCTACTCAGCTGTTCGTCTCGAAAAAAAAATCTATGTACTCTGAAGCATCTATCCATACTATTCGTAAGATATGAAGTGGGAGCGAGGCTTGGTTCGGGCTACAGAAAAACAATAGGACTGCTCGAGTGGGTTGATGCAACATGTCGCGAGTACTCCACGGCCTCGCTTCGCCGGATCGGTAAAGCAAAATTCATGGAAATATTTGGTAGTACTCGTTACATTGTATAATATTTGCTACGCCAGCCCGATTTGCGATTGGTATAGTAATGCTGCTGTAGGAGGAGGTTCAACACAAAGGATGGTGTTGGCGTGACGGATGGGTTTAAGCTCCGCTCGCGTTCATTGGTCCGAGCCGCTTGAGCCGTTGCAGCCTGTCCTAGTCCGGCACCTCGGCAAGTCGTGACCGCGTGTGATGATCGCACAACTTTGGCTGGTGCTCACTTCGTCTCACCGGCATCTCACTGGCAGAGTTGAGGCTTGACTAAAATATTTGAGACACTATAAACCATATCTGCAGCACCCTGGCAGCACCCTGGCTATCTACTAGCAAGGTTTCGGACAATTTTGAGCTGATTTGAGGGAGATATAACCCCAATGCAACACGTGTTGCATTAGGGGTGGATGCATAGTATGAGGTTGCTACAGTATCGCAAATGGGTAAGTATTGCACACATTTCTTGAACACCAATTCCACGTTGTATAGGCACTGAACCTCGCATCACCGAAACTTTTGCTATGAGACTGGCAACAAATCAGGGAGCAGTAAGACTGAAGACTGCCGACGCCTTTACATAGCTACGACATGCGGAGAGATTACGACCGGCGTCGAGCCAATGATACTTACGAATCTTGAAATCCAGGCCCGCGCAAGCTTTCGATGAGAGCGGGAAAAAAAATGCCATTTAGGAGCCGCTGACACTACTCGCTACGCAGAAAGCGGTACTAGGTGTGGGAGTATAGGGTAATCGAATTGTCCACCGCGCGCTCAGAGCGAAAGGTTGACGGGGACGCAGCCGAGCGCGATCAGGCCGTTCTGCACAGTCAGAGTTCATCGCGAAAAAAAGAGAAAAAAAAAACGTGTACGTCAGAAACCGGGGGGAAAAGCGCATATATGCGACGACGAGAGAGCCCAACGTACGAATTGGTTGTTCTCGCAGCAGACCGGCGCGGCGCTGCAGCTGTTGCCGCCGAGGCCGACGGCGGAGATGGGGCTGCAGTTGGAGCCGACGAGGGCGGTGACGTCCGAGACGACGACGCCGAGCAGGCCAAGGAGATCGCTCATACCGGCGCTGCTAGCCTGAAAGAACGCGAGACAGTCAGGGTTTTTTTCCCCCTTTTTTGACGTTGGACAAGCGGGAACTCACCTTCTGGGTGCTGTTGCAGCATTGGATAGAGCCGGTGTTGCACTGGCTGGCGGGCAGAGTGCTCGGGGCGGCAGCCGCGGTGGCGACGAGCGCAGAGAGGGCGACGAAGACGGTGGAGCGAGAGAAGAACATCTTGGGTAAAGAGTGATTGGTTGCTTGGCGAGCGAGAGTGGTTGTTAGAGAGGCTGAGGGGGCGCTGAACTATGTCGTTCGACTGGTTTGATCAGTCGCTGCACTCCAAGTATTTATACGTGCAGAGGGGGCATGCCATGCCGGACGTGGGCGTCCTGAGTTGCGCACGGAAATGAGGCGGGGCGCCTTCAGGTCAGCAGGAAAGTGACGAAGAAGCGAGGGAGAACGCGAAGCGAGCGTTTTTGCACCGAGAAGACGTTCGCCGAACAGTTCTTCCCCGAGTTTATGTAACTGCGCGTCGTGGCATGCTTCCGTAGGATCTCCTCCCAGCGATCAAAGCACAAGAGGAGGCGCGTGAAGTCGGGATACTTACTACTGTATCAAAACGATGCCATGCGATGCGCCATGCATCCTGGTCCTCGAAAATAGCCTAGGGAGGAGAGCTGCGCCGCCGATGCACCCCTTTCACAGAAAGTTTCCGCTCAGATGACCCAGGATTACAGACGCCGCCCCCGTCGGAGTGGACGCAAGCGCCTTAAATCTGCGTTACTGCAAGTTTTGTTTACGCGCACGCGGCGGAGACGCGTGATTTAGGGACGGGAGCGGAAGGCAAAAAGGCCTCGATGGGCCAATGGGAGTACATACCATCAGGATACTGTAGTTTTACGACCTTAGGTTCGTCCCCTGTCCCCTGGCAGCCCGAACTGAACCTAATTTCCCGTATTGTCCCCTGTCCCCCGCCGAAATCCAGGGCCTGAACTGATCGTGAGAATTATGTTGCTTACTGTGAAAATATATTAAACCGACTGGAGTCAGTTTGCGAACTTCCCATGGCCCCGAACTTGCAGCTGTCCCCTGTCCCCCGGGAGGCGGACCGAACCTAAGGTCGTAGAACTACAGTACGTCGGGCGGCACCGGAGCGCGCTATCCCCGCCTCGAAGAAAGAAAAAAAAAACGTCTCGGAAAACGTAAAAAGGTAAAAAGTACGTCCGAATTTGATCTTGGGCGGGCGGCGGTCCTTCAGTCAGGAGGTGGAGACACGATGCGAGGGCCACCTGAAGGTGGGGGTGAAGCATCAGCTTGGGCGTGGGCCGGGGTCGAGCGTGAACGGCTCGCCCCGGGCCACTCGGCGGCTCTCACGCCGTGTCTCTGTATCCTCTTTGTAACGATTCGGGTCTTCGTGACCTTACAAATTCATGGATCTGATGTGCTAAACTGCCTATGGTGCGATGATGATACAGGGAGAGGAGGGTGGGACGAAAAGCGAGCCCCGAGGGCAGTCCTCTTCGTCGACTCTGGCCGCGAGAGCGAAGAGCCGACGTGGCGACCTCTGCCGCCCAAGAATCGGCACCGCCGCACGTGACCTCCGCTCCGGTGCGCCCACGAAAAACACAAGTCCGAGCGGAGTTTCTTCTGGACGTTTGCCTGCTCCAGTCTCCAGAAGGAGGGGCTTTGTTCATCGAGGGCGGAAGCACGCCCGGCAGGCCAACCGAGG